AAGAAGTTATGGTTCATATATACAATGGAATATTATTACTCGACCATTAAAAAAAACCAAAATCCTACCGTTTACAACAACACGGATGGATGGACCTAGAGGTTATTGTGCTGAGTGAAATAAGTCAGACATAGATAAATATCATATGAATTCACTTACATGAAGAATCTAAGGAACAAAAAGAACAAACTAATTGAAAACAGACTCACAAATATAGAGGACAATCTGGTAATGGCTAGAGGGGAAGGGAGTTGGAGGGCTAGGAGAAAGGGGTGAAGGGTTAAAGAAGTACAAATCAGTAGCTGATAGATGGTCACAGGGATGAGGAGCACGGCATAGGGAATGCAGTTAGCACTAATGTAATGGCTAGGTGGAGAGCTAGAGGAGAGATAAAGCAATGAGGGAGATCATCTTATAAACTATAGAAATGTCTAGCCAGTGAACGGTATACTTGAAACTAATAATAAAATTTTAAAAAAACCAAAAACACCAAAAATAAAAGCCCAGGATCAGAGGGCTTCAGAAGTGAATTCTATCAAACCTTTAAAGAATTAACACCTGTCCTTCTTAAACTATTCAAAATATTGAAGGGTAAGAAATGCTTTCAAACTCATTCTATGAATCCAGCATTACCCTGATACCAAAACCAGACAAAGACAATACGAGAGAGAGAGAAAAATACAGGCAAATATCTCTGATGAATATAGACGTAAAAATTCTCAACAACAAAATACTATCAAACTGAATTGGACAATACATTAAAAAAATTATATACCATGATCAAGTGGTATTTATACTAGGGATGCAAGGATAGTTCAACATCCACAAAACAATTATGTGATACATTGCTTCAAGAAAACCAAGAATAAAAATCATATGATTATCTTAATAGATACAGAAAAATTCAACATCCATTTATGAGAAAAACTTTCAACAAAGTGGGTATAGAAGGAACTTACCTCAATATGATAAAGGCCATATATGACAAGCCCACTTCTCACATCATACTCAATGGTGAAAAGCTGAAAGCTTTTCCTTTAAGAACAGGAACAAAACAAAGATGCCCACTTTCTCTTCTTTTATTCAATATAATATTGAAAGTCCTAGCCACAGCAATCAGATAAGAAAAAGAAATAAAAGGCATCCAAATTGGAAAGCAAGAAGTAAACCTCACTATTTGCAGATGATATGATACTATACATAGAAAACCCTAAGAATCCACCAAAGGTATTAATAGAATAAATGAATTCAGTAAAGTAGAAGGAAACAAAATTAATATACAGAAATCCATCATGCTTTTATACATTAATAACATAATCAGAAGACGAAATTAAGAAAACAGTTGTATGAAATAGAATAAAATATCTAGAAATAGATTTAACCAAGGATGTGAAAGACCTGTACTCTGAAAATCGTAAGATACTGAAGAAAGAAATTGAAGAGGACACAAATAAATGGAAGGATATATGAAGCTCATAGACTGGAAGGATAATACTATTAAAATGACAATACTACCCAAAGCAATATACAGATTCGGTGCAATCCCTATTAAAATACCAATAGCATTCTCAGAACTAGAACTAATCCTAAATTTATATGGAACCACAAAAGACTAGATTTCAACTCCCTGATTTCAAACTATACTACAAAGCTATAATAATCAAAATAGTATGGTAGTGGCATAAAAACAGACACATAGATCAATGGAACAGAATAGAGAGCGCAAAAATAAATTCATGCTTACGTAGTCGATTAATATACAACAAATGGTGAAATATACAACAAATGGTGAAATGACAATCAACAAATGGTGAAATGACAGTCTCTTCAACAAGTGGTATTGGGAAAACTGGACGGATACATGCAAATAAATGAAACTGGATCACTTTCTTACACCATATACAAAAAAAAACAAAAACCCTTAAAATGGATTAACGGCAAATGTAAAATGTGAAACTATAAAGCTGCTGGAAGAAAACATTGGTAGTAAACCTTCTGACATTGCTATTAGTGAAGGAAACCGTCAATAAACAAAAATATAATCTATTGAATGGGAGACTATATTTGCAAATGGTATATACAATAAGGGGTTGATATCCAAAATATATTAAAAACTCACACAATAATGAAAAAAATGAATATGCTAATAAAAAAATGAACAGAGGACATAACGAGATATCTCTCCTAAGAAGACAACAGATGGCAACAGATGAAAAGCTGTTCAACATCGCTAATCACCAGGGAAATGAAAATCAAAACCACAATGAGATACCACCTCATACCAGTCAGAATGCCTATTATCAAAAAGTCAACAAAAATTAAAAGTGTTGGTGAGGATGTGGAGAAAAGAGAACCTGTGTGCACTGTCGGTGGGACTGCAAATTGGTGCAGCCACTACGGGAAACAGTATGGAGAGTCCTCAAAAAACTAAAAATAGAACTACCGTATGACCCAGCAATTCCACTTCTGTGTATTTATCCAAAGAAAATGAAAACAATCATTCAAAAAGATCTATGCGCCCTATGTTCATTGCAGCATTATTTACAATAGCTAAGTATAGAAGCAACCAGGTGTCCATCAGTAGATGAATGGATAACGAAGATGTAGTCTAGATGAATGGATAATGAAGATGTAGTATATACATACAGTGGAATATTACTCAGCAATAAAAAGAATGAAATCTTGCCATTTGCAATGACATAGATGGACCTAGAGGGTATTATATTAAATGAAATAAGTCAGACAGAGAAAGACAAATAATGCATGATTTCACTTATATGTGGAATTAAAAAAGTAAAAACAAAACAAAACAAAAAGAGACTCAGAAACAAAGATGTTGTTTCAGAAACAAATAAACTGATGTTTGCCAGAAGGGAGAGGTGTGTGGAGGTTTGATTGAAAAAGGTGAAAGGGAATATAGACAATAATAGTGTGATAACTTTGCACGGTGACAGATGGTAACTAGACTCAGAGTGGCGAGCACATGATAAGGTACATAAATGTCTAATCACTATGTTGTACACCTGAAAGTAAAATAATATTGGTTAACTATACTTTAATAAAAAAAATAAGTATGGGCAAAGGTTTGGGAAATTAGTTAATTCTATTTATCTTTTAAAAGAAACACAACTTGAAACTCACCTGCTTTAGCAACTAAATTATCTTAATTGTATTTTTATAACACATATTTTGTGTGTATGTGCAAGTATGTATGTGTCTAGATGTGTGTGTATCTATACATGCAATTCCAGTGCGAACTAATTATCAGGGTACATACACACACACACACACAGCTTATTTGTTTATTTGGATATATTTCTGTGAGTGTTCAAAACTTTTTACTCTTCATATGTCATGAGTAAATATATATTTACATATTTGAAGAAAAGGGTAGATAACTAGCAAACTAAAATATAACAAAAAGAAAACAATAAGTGCTTTTATATCTGACTACTACTGTTCAATGTGTTTGTGAAAGTATACTTCAGAGCATTCTAATCACAGCCTTTTTGGTAAAATATGTCTTAACCTGTGTTGAACTGAAATGTTTTATCTTTGAGGCTAGAAATGATGCAAAGAAGTTTGTTCTTCTAGGAGGATCTTATTATAATATGGTTAAAAACTAGTAATTGGCCCTGTTGAGGCAATTTTGTTGATAACTGATCTTTGAAACAGATTCTCCTTCACTAGGATCTTCAGGTTCACCAATGGTTTGCCTGAAATGGACCAGACCTCTCTCTACAGGTTGCTTACTGTCTTCATGTCTTCCTCCCGCTCCTGCTTCTCTTCCCCTTCTTTCTTTCTGTCAATCCAGGCAGGAAGAATGTGGGCAATTAGCAGAGGTCGAAATAGCAAAATGGGTAATCAGCTAGACCAAGCTCACCTAGATATATCAGTGTTTACCCATAACCTAAGCCCAACATAATTTGATGAATAAATTCCAAAAATGTCTCTACGTGCTTTCTCATACTCAAAGTAAGATTTCGAAATGTGTAACAGATCAATTTTTACATAGTGAGATGTACCTAAGGAAATGAAACTTTGTATTCTATAATAGTGATAACCGAAAAACTTCCCAATTAAGGGTAGCACCCATCTGATTTAAAAGTCTATCAAATAAATATTCAGTTGATTCAAATGCAAATTAATTATCAGCGTATTTCTCTCTTCTTAACCATGTCCCTTTTTCTTTCCTACTTACCCCAATTCTAATCATACCCTATATGGGGAGGAGTATGGACCTTTTTCTATCCTGTTCTCTCATAGATCTTTAACCGTTTCAATAAGTCAGCCTTTCAAACTTTGGTTTGGGTTGGAGCAGCTGCAAAACCTTTCAAGTGATCACACTGTGCCATCTGGTGGAAATAGTCTTTTTCAGGCAAATAAGAGAATGTTCCTGGTCCCTATATTCCTGGTTCTGTATCTATGACTTATTCACAAGAAGATTCTGATAAATTTTACAAAAACAAAGCCAGCCAACGCTAATCTCCATCCTGTCTGTCCACTCCGTCGGTTCAGTATTTTGCCAAAAGAAATCTTTGCATCTGCACTGTTATCATTCTAAATTAAAAAAAAAAGAAAAGAAAAAAAGAAACCAACAAAACCTAAAGAACAAATTTACATTCTACTTTTTGAACATGCAGCAAATGCATGTATTGCCCTTAAATTTGTCTTTTTCCCCCACAAATTTATGTCTTGAATAAAAAATAGTTATAGAGTTGTTTACAAACAACATTTTCTATGTGCTATGTCAGAGTGCTTAACCGTGCCATCTGAGACTACTGCATACAGTTAGGGCTCTCTAATGTTTTACCTGTCTTTAGGAAGTTAATTTCTTTACTGCACATTATTTCTAGGTTAATCAATGAATCACGTATAATATATTAGCATTCAAGAATGATGGGAAGATATATACCTTATTACTTATATTTCCTATACGAAGCTGTTCATTGAGGGATACCTGGGTTAGCTTTTCTTAATACTATTTTTTCCTGTTTCAGGTTAGAATCTCCCACACGGAGCCTAAGCATGGACGCCCCAAAGGGTGTTCATTTTAAAACTCATGCTGGGAAAATCGAGGCCCTTTCCCAAATGGATATCATTTTTCACAGTCGTGATGGAATGGTGAGTTCGGTAGATCACGTATGTCCTGACGATACTCACGCCCATAAGGCATCAGTATATTAAATGTATTGTAGTTTGTAAGAAAACATTGTGAAAGGTGTAGGGTAGAAAATGTGAAACAAAGGCAAGAGCCAATTTAACACCGAAAGAAGGGCCAAGAAGGGTTAAAACAATTCTCTGTGGGATCCAGACACTTGTTAACACGTTTCTAATTATTTTCAGCTTTGAAAAAACACTACAGACTTTCAGAGCTTACAGAGACTATATCCACTCTGCCATTTCCTAGTGATCCACCTTTTCTTAATGTGGCTGTCACCAGGAATGACAAACGTCATCTGTGCTTGCTCAGAGCACTGGGCTTCCTTGTGCCATGTCATGTTTAAGTGAAAATAAGATCTTTAAAAGTCCACTACGATAAGGATACAACCCGGAACTGCAAGCCTGAAAATAAAACATCACTGATATGAGCCGAAGTCACGAGGCGACGGAGCACATGCCACTCAGTATTGATTGTCCTAGCGCTAGATCAGTCCACTGATTACCTATTGGAATTCAGGAAAGTTAACAGGCCTCTCTTCATGTGTCAAATAGGGGAAATAATATTTGCGTAACTGTGTCACGGGGTTATGAGACACCCATGTGGTAATATGAGTGACAACATTTTGAAATTATATTAATAGAAAGGTGTAGTTGAGGCAACAAAGGAAGACCACGAGAGGCAGCTCATGGGGACCCATCCAATGGCAGCGTGCTGATGGGCTACAAACGTCATCTGGCGAAGCCCCTGCAAGTTTTAACTTAAATGTTTATGATGCCGGGAGCAGATAAATGCAAAAATGGACATCAAGAATTTTGGAATCTCACCACTAAATCCTAATGTCACTATTTTTAAGTAACATTACTTATTTCCATGAGTTAGGTGTCATTTTACAAATAGCACAGGCTGACTCATAATTGAAGTTGTTTTCCCTTATCACTGGGAGCCAGTTCAGAGTGAAGAGATGTCTGGCCTCCCACAAAATGTCCCATCAAAGCGAAAGATGAGCAAGGAAGCAGTATGTGGACTACCAGTGACGAGTTTGCTGGAAGAAAAAGAAAGAAGTAACGACTAGAAAAAACTGGCCAATTCACTGTAAGAAAGGCTAGAGGAGAAGCTGACAAGTTAGGGCAAAGCAGAAGCACATGGGGAGATGTGAGTATGCACAGAACCCAAAGCTTTGGACAATAGCTCTACTTAAATAGGTTCTGCTTTTTAAAATATAATGCCCATTTAATTCCTTGACGAGAGTGTCTCAGACCACAGAGGGAGAGCCTTGCCTATAATGCCACCGATACTGTCCCATCTACGGCTTCACACAGCAGCGGTCATTGTCCCAGGAGGGAGTACAGAGCGCTGACACCAGTTTGCTAAAAGATCGGAGTTCATGGAGGAGAGCCACATAACATAAAGGAGGGATCTAACCTTGTTGTCAAGGAAGGACTTATGCCTACCCACAATGCACTTTGATTCCGTCTAACGAGCGAGCGCCCTAGGATGGGTCAGATTTGGTTGCTCAGTGCGACAATTCTTATTGCCTTCAGTTATCGAAAAGACTTCCCGGTCTCCATCACTGGTGATTTGTTTGCATTTCAGTTTAACTAAACTATAACAGGAACAAAAAATGTATTAGCTTTAGTCTGTGTGTGTGTCTACTGCTTTTCTGCATCTAATAGAAGGTAGCAGAGTTTCAAATATTTAAAAAGTTAGGGAAATGGTTAATATCTAATAAGATGAATGTAACCGCTTCTCATAGGAAAAGAAAAGGAGAAATTCCAGCATTCACAGGCAAAAAATTATTAAGATGAATCTACTTCTGTGGCTCGTACTTTACCCTAATGGGAAGGACATGATTTAATACAGAGCCAGAAACATCCAAAGGTGAATGCGAATCAGCCACAGAATCCTATTACTTTTGTCAGATAATTCTGAAAGGTATTTTGGGGAGTATGTTATCATAAATTTTCATAGCTCAACTAGCACAATGGGTAAAGGTAAAAATGACTTTCCCCCAATTTGGAGAAGGAATTATTCAGACCTGCCCAAATGTGAAAAAGAAATAGGCTTTAAAAGAATCAGACAAGTATAGTATGACCTATGTAAAGCCAGGTGCTCATTTCATTTTCTACGCAGAGAACGAATTTGTTTGCAATTTTTAGAATATGAATTTTATGCTTATCATGTTCATTCCTTCTTTACCACTTAATTTCTCATTTTTCCCCCAAACAGCTTATGCTTGATGCTGAAACTGTGTGTTTACCCAAGTTGGAACAGGGGACGGGGGGTCCTGCTGGCAGCTCACAAAGACTCTATGAAATCTGCGTGTGTCCAGATGGGAAGCTTTACCTGTCTGTGGCTGGCACGGCCACCACGTGCCCTGAAAACAGCCACGTCTGTCTCTAGACCATCCTCATCTTCCATGGGACACCTGCCTCGTTTCTCTGGGCTTTTAAAGTACTGACCTCAAGCCTTCAGTTAGAGCAGCTTGACGACCTGTAAAACTGAGATGGCAGGTGGAAGGACACACTTTCAAAAGGAGCTCAGAAAACAAAATGAACCAACGCAGTTGCCAGGACGAATAGCGTATGGATGTTAGACACAGGTCAAAGGATTTGAGAAGATAGGATATGTGTTTATTCTCCTAGGTTGGTTCATTTTCATCAGAACCATGTGACTGTTCTTTGCTTGTTCATGTCAATCTACAATGAAATATTGAACTGCTGTGTGAAATTAATTTATGATGTTCAACGGTGGATATATAACTCCCCCTAAAAGTAGCACTGGCCAGTACTAAAATGCCCCAAAGTTCTGTGACGTGTTTTCATTATATCACACAAACCCGAGTTCTCCATTTTAATGCAAAGCATGTCAGGTTTCACAAGAAGATCTTCAGGTTTCAAAGATTTTAAGGTTGATCTGATTTTTAATATGTACTCAAAGGAATAAATTATACAAAATCAATCATGCTTTCTTTATATATCGTCAATGAGCAATAAAAACCTACATTTTTCACAAACTTCAGTTTGAGTGTCTTACTCTCTTTAATCCTCACAACTCTTTGAGGTAGGTATTATTTTCCCCCAAGTGACTGGTGATAAAAAAAGGCTCAGGTAGGACAAGTCACAGGGCTATAGAGTATCTACTGAAATTAAACTAAAACAGGACCTACATTTGAACAGCTGTTTTCACTTCGAAAAACTTCCATATGTTGTCTCTTTCCATCCAAAACACTAATATGCATAACCGTGTGGATGGAATAATATTTGTTTACAAATGAACAAACAAGTCCAAAGGGTTTTGTCGTCTACCAAGGTTACACAGCTAGTGGCTGGCGGGACTCGTAACTGCCCAGCCTGTGTCCTGACCTCTTCGCGAGACATAAGACTGGATGTAACTTCACAGAATCAGATTCTGACAGTTTGTGAAAATACGTTTAGTGCCAGTTGATTGTATAAGTTGCTATATAAATCAAGTAGGACACTCTGAACCTATGAAAACAAGTTAGTTACGTGTGAGCTCCTCACTTTTTGAATTGAATGCCCTTCATCACAGAGGTGGCTTTGGCTCTGGTTCGTTTTACCAGTTGTTATAATTAGAGTTCCCAACCAGCACAAGATATGGTGGGACCAGAAGCACTGCAACTTTCTAATTATAAAATTTATAACTATAAACACAAGTTCAAATTCATTTCCCACAGTCCCACTGAAAGAAGTCAACTTATGTCTAACGCTGTTTTAACAAGGTGTTCATTTAACAAGGTGTAGCCCACTTATAACTCGGTTTTTCAATTGCTATATATATAAACACTTGAAATTACAAAATAAAAATATGGTGCTTCCTAAGCAGTTAAGAGCAAACCCAACTAAATATACTTTTAGATTATAAATTAGTATTCACCTTTTATCATTGTCCTGATTTTTTAATGTCTACTTTCTGGCTACAACATTCCTATTGTCCTCCTAAATAGTGTTGCATTCTTTTTGTCATATTTACTCTGGTTCCATGTTTGTGCAAATAATCTGACATACATAGGATTACCATGGAACGTTTATAAATTAGCTTGGTTCTCATAGTACACGTCAAAAAAAGGTACTCAGATGATAAAGTGAGGCGAAGAAAATGAATCAAAGAGAAACTAAGAACAGAACTTTTAAATAAAAGGTATAAATTATATATATATATATACTTTTTTTTTTTTTCTTTTTGCTCCTTTGCTACATAGTCATTGTGAAAGGAGTTATTATGGATAGCTGCATTCTCCAGAATTTATCCTTGGTTAGAATGGAAACTTTTAGATAGGCCGTATTCTAAAATGTACTACATAAACCTGCCTTCTTAAATACATTATACAATGTAATTTAAATTTTCATTAGAGGTCTAAGGTCATGGTTATGAATATACATAATGTGTATACACTGCTGCTCCTGTATACTACGTGGTTAAAGATCACTGGCTGTTGATATTTTAGTGGTAACCCTTAGCTCTTTTCCAATTTCCAAACCAACTAAGAACTATACGAGTCAAAAAGATGACTACAGTATCAGCTTGATAGTAAAAAACTCTGATCTGTAACAAAATGGACTTCTAAGACTTGTCGGCTGAATAAAACACTAACTTTACTGGTCCTGGGCAGAAAGGTGGGCTCCCGACTCCCATAGCCCACTGTGTGGAGCAGGGTGGGCGGGTGCAGCCAAATCCAAAACAGCAGGAAGGGCTGAGCTACACACATGTCGGTCTTGCTTCCCAGCCCCTACCCCCGACCCTGATGCGGCCACCAGATCACCCTCTCCTCCACTGGAGACAGTGAGGGGGCGGAAGCTGCAGAGCCCTCACATGGTGGCCACTAGGTTGTGTCCGCTTTAAGCAGACCCCACTCCTGGTTTAAAAGGAAAAAAAAAGCATAAAAGAATTAGTTCAGGTTCAAAATTCCTTAATCAGAATTCTAAAATCTAAAAAGCTCTAAAAAAAGTGAAAACCTTCCAAACACGTCAGCTGCAAACTACTGGTGGCAAAACCTGACCTCAATCTCGATGAGGCCATTTATCAGGTCTATGTGTTCCACTTAGTGTGAATATTCATAGATTTCACTGCGCAAATATTAACATGTTTGATTAAAGGGTGCTGCCCAACCCTGATGGGAAAGCATCATTAAAAACTTTCTAAAATCCATTTGAATCCAAGGGTTTCATATAAGGGATTGTGAACCTGTAATTTGTTTAAAAAAGAAAGTCTAGATAAAACACAAAACTCCAACTAGATAAACTATCACAAAGGCCAGGCAAGGTTTCCTCTGTCAGATTTAATATCCAAAAGCAGTAAAATATATTTCAAGTGCTAAATTTGCTTTTCAAAGTAGCAAGCATTTCTTTAGAAACGCCCAGAAACCTGAAGACCCAGAATTCCGGGCGGCCCCCGAACAGAGAATTCTCAGCCCTGTCTCCCTGATCTTGAGCCTCAGGTACAAAGATGGACATTTCCTGTCTGTCAGGGATCAAGTGTGAATGAGCCCCAAACATGAAGCCCTCTTCCCTGAGGCACAGAAAATACCAATTCAGCCTCTACCTACAGAAGAACCATATTTAATGTATCTTATTTCCAAGTATATACATACATATACCATATATATCAACTGATCTTAGTCTCTTAAAAGGTGAAATAAACTCAATCAAATCAATGAGCACCTAATAAACCTAGTACTTTATATTCAATCATAAAAAAGAAATCTACTAAAACTACGGTATAGAATATATAGAAAAAAATCTATGCTGATACTTCCAATAAACGTGGACTCGTGTACACACATATCAAAACTTAATATAAAAAGATACTGTTTGATTTTCAATGAACTATTTCTCAGGAAATACCAGTTACAATGATTTCATATGTACATTTGCTTTATTAAAATTATGGCACTTCATATAATAGCAGAAATAATTACATGGCTTCACATCCAGAAGCAATAGAAGGTGGAGGCGCAAACATTCCTTATTACCAATAATAGTAAAAAAGTTTCCATGTGTTCCGTAAGCCCTTAATTGCATAAGATATTGTATTTAGCATGATTTACAGCCTACACACTTATATAAACTAATTATCATTACCTTCCTTTTACATTCTGCAAAAGAAATATATGTTAATACCTATGGTAGAACATTCAAACATGATGAAAATTAAACATCAGTCCTGAATCATTCATGGGGAAAATACAAGCTGATAATTCCTTTTTCTTAAACTACTGGATATTGTCACGATTTCACATTTTTAATGTTTTCAAAGTAAAATCTAAAAAGCTCCACTAAGTGCCATGTTGAAAGACAAAAGTTTTTTTTTTTAACTGCAGCACCTTTAGACAACATAAGATTGCATCCTGTTCAACCACACCGTATAAATTATGACATTTGTGAAAAATATGTACAAACACAAAGCAAATGTTCTAACGGTTGATAATGTCATTTGGTAAGCAGTTCTTGGAAGCAATATTAACATCTGGTGATAAAAACTGCCACCATTTTGAGTTTTCCATACGCTATCTTCATGAAAGAGGAAGCCTGTAAACATAAGGTGTAAAAAAAACATTTAAAATAAAGATGTAAAGTGCGCTCACTGCACCCTAAGTACTATCTGCATACCCTCAATCAAGTAATATTCAGGATTAAAATACGGTACCATTTTTAAATGTACTGAGTATTTATGATGTAAGATTGCAACAAATTCATAATCAGATCCAGCTGATAAGAAAACAGCACATTCAAGAGGATCCACTTAAAGAAATGATAAAACTCCAAGACTTAATTCCCCTTCCTTGTTTAAATCAATGATATGTCCAGTGTTTCATCAGCTCCTTCAAAAATACCATGACAAAAACATAAAATTAACTTCATCCTAACTGGAGACAAGTACAGATTCTAACAAACTAAGCTTTGGTTATATAAAGTGCAGTTCAATGCTATGCCACCCCAGCCACTCAAAAACACGTGGCGACTTTGCAGTTCACCGTCTTCGAAAAAGTTTTCTTTTAGATTCAGTCAAGGTGTTCTGCTGATGTTCGTGTTCGTAACAACTCCAAGATTCTTCCCAAATGATCTGCAAAGTGCTCCCCAAAGCTGAAGGAAGGACAGCAGTTCATACTTGTGCTACGACACATTCAAGAGCTAGCTCTACCGTTTCCTTTAAATACTTTCACGCTTTTTGTTGTATAAAGTTTTCAAGTTTTATTATGATACAGGCAGTACATTCCATGACCCTCATAGCGACCTCAGAAGTAAACCTGTCATTTGGAATCTGTGGGAAAGGAAGCAAATCAGGATATCTCGTTTTTAAACTGTCGACGCCATAAGCTTCCAATGTGTGGACATCATTTGTCAGTCCTTCAAGTTGCTGACTGTATTCCTCTATTTTTTGTGCAAGGGCAGTCGGCTTCACGTCTTTGTCGGACTTCCCCCTCACAGCATAGTCAGCGGCAATCAAAGCTAACTTGGTAGAAAGGTAACATTTAAAGCACACCCATTCGTTGGCATTTTTATGAAGGTCGTTCCTGGCGGCTGAAAAATTTGCCCTGGCTTGTCTTAACCACCGACGTGCTTCGACTGGATTACCAACCGACTTGAAAGTAGGAGGAACAAAGAACCTCTGAGAATAGGTCTGTCCAGCTGGAGGCGGGCATTTTTCTTTATTCTGTTGTTGTCTTTCAGATTTATGGCTTGTTGCTTCCTGATTCCATGAAGTATAAAATCTCTGAAACGAGTACTTGTCTGACTGAAAACGGGAGGCTGAGGTCGGAAATGTCCGCCTTGAGGCCCTGTCTGCATTCTGATCCAGAAATGCCTGTTTCTCCAATCTGTTGATTTCATTCTGCAAGTGTTTAAAAACTTCATTAGCAATGTCATGATTCTCTGGATTTTTGTCAGGGTGCCATTTCAAATACAACCGTCTAATAATCTTCTTTCTTTCCGACTCTGGAAGCTTCCAAGCTTGCTCCACCACTGTTGTCACTTCTTTTAAAATTTCTGGCAACGAGTTCACCTTAAGCTTTTTGGGGGAATGGTGTTTTGAAGACGAGGTCTTGTGGCCCTCTTTCCCAGAGAAAAGAGGCGGGACGCTCCGCAGGCCGGGGGCAAGGAACTCCGTGGGGCTGGTGGGCGTGGAAGGGGCACTGTCTCTGCTTTGAGAGCTTTCCTCAGGCCGCGAGAACTTGTACAGATCGAGAGAGCTA